GATCTATAAAACAGGAGTAGTTGTTTTTACTCGTAATATCAGTGGACTTCATCAATAAGCACGACATTGTTATGTTTTACATGCCCCAGACAGAAACTGCGACAATACCTTGTTAACACTCTGAGCATATTAAAATTGGGTTGATTTGCTAAGGACCACTAAGGACTACTATATCACCTAGTTCATGCCCAATAAACATTGAAATGGAGGAGAGTACTGGAAATTATCCATCATTCTTTTATAGGCCTATTAAAGTAGTGTAACTTGGTAATATTAAGCCCCACTTCAAGGTAACATATGGCTGTGACTGAACAACTGCAGGCCAAGAAACCAGACTCAGCATTGTTTCTAGCATGACTGTGGTTGGAGAGAAGTTACACTGGTGTAAAGTTGTAGTTGGGAAGGGGCAGAGCAGCACATGTCCCCTTATGTGGTCATACATGAGGTCGTTAAGACAAATGTACATGGTCCATTTCTCATTGTAAGACTGGTTGATTGGCAAACTAAAAGGTATACATAACATCAGGCAGTCCCCCCTTGCTGTACTGTTATCGGTGGCTGCTAAAAAAAATAAATTTCAGCAAGCCTGTCCAGACATGTAATTCTATTGTTTATTATGAAATTCTATTACACTAAGGGATGGCAGCTGATTGAACCTGCCCTAAAGATATCTGGTAGCAAAGTGCTTACTCAAGTGCTCTGTGGCGTTGAAATCTGGGACTCTGATTTGAACCCCATTAAAGTTTTGAAAATTCTGCAGAATTTTTTTTTGGGGGGGGGGAGCTATACTCCCTACTATCAGAGATATCAGCTACTCTTCTTTGTACAGAATCCGAGTGGCCAACAATTAAGGCAAGAGCCTTAACTGGGCTGAGTTAAATAATATTTTATAACATTGCTACTATGCCTACTGAGTGTTTTCTTGCTCTGCGCTATGTGGAATTGGGTGATAACCAACTCTGGAAAGCAGCTTGTCAATATGTTTTTGATTACTATTATTTTCCAGAACTGAGCTTTGCAATGACCTTGAATAAGTGTCAACTAAGGGATTGGTTCTTCTGGATAGAATCGGCAACTAATTAGAAACCCCCATCCTGCTCCCCTCCCAATGGTATCCACTCTTGAGAACAGAGCATTTTAGAGCTAGTTATCTAACCAAAGTCTTAACAGTTTCCTTAAGAAATGCTTCTATGCTTTTGGATGGCTGCTACAACAAGGTGCAATATGCAGACATATTGCATTTTTATTTGTAGTCAACCTCAGATGGAATACATCACTCATTGTCTATTAACCTTCCCCTTATATAGAGAGCCAAGGGATCACTTTCTGAAACCTTTGTTTGCATAAGGAAACAATAGTTCAGTTTCCTTTGAGTGGCAGTAATAGCTTAATAACATACCGTATTTTTTGCCTTATAGGACGCACTTTTTCCCCTCCAAAAATGAAGGGGAAATGTGTGTGCGTCCTATGGGGCGAATGCAGGCTTTCGCTGAAGCCTGGAGAGCGAGAGGGGTCAGTGCGCACCAACCCCTCTCGCTCTCCAGGCTTCGTGCACCTCTCCGCAAGCGGCAGGAGCCCGGCGCTGGGCTCCCGCCACTTGCGGAGAGTTGCCTGCATGCTGAAGCCTGCGCGCGCAGAGCTCAGCGCGTCCAGGCTTCGTGCACCTCTCAGCAAGCAGCGGGAGCCGGCGCTGGGCTCCCACGGCTTGCAGAGAGCTGCCTGTTCTGGGGGCTGGGGTCGGGGGAAGCTCGGGCTTCCCCCACTCCAGCCCCGCGCCTGGGAGGAAAATAATTTTTTCCCCTTTATTTCCCCCCCAAAAAACTAGGTGTGCCTTATGGGACAGTGCGTCCTATAGGGCGAAAAATACGGTACGTAGTGGCCCTGTATGCACTGACTGCAAAAAAGAAAAAATCAGGGAAAAGGAGTTAGATAAAATTGCTATAAATTGTTGTAATCATTCAGAGGTTTAATCTGAAATTAAGCTGGATTTGAGTTAGTGTCTCAGATAACTTTCTCTTACATCATTGATGTTGGCAAATTGGATTTTAAGAAAATCAAAATAATATTCGAATTGGAGCTGTCAGAGATGCACAAGGGAAACTGTGTTTTAATGACCAGGACCTTGGGAAAGTCTTTTTTATATTATGGATTTTTGTACTATGGATATATGTTCTGTATTATTTTATTAATACTATTGCCTAATACAAGTTGTTCCTGAACTTGAAACTTGAAAATAAAGCTGTGGTTCTGATTTGCATTACCATTTTTTGTAAACCCTTGTTGCACAGATACCACCATTAGCTGCTTCTGTAGTGATGGTGTTTGTATCTGTGTGAGTGCAACCATATTCCTCTGAAGCTTGGTTTCAGTCATGTAGCATCCTAGATGTTTAACTGAGCTTCACAGTATTTGAAGTTGTTTTCCACTGTGCCTTTTCTTTCTTATTTTCAGTGTCTTCCTAGACAAAGGAACATTGATCTTCAGTGCTCTAGGCAGTGCGGCTTTTAGAGGTGTTTTTTCTCTCTCCCTCCTACTTCTCTCTTTATTGTCCTCTATATATTAAAATCACAAAAGGTTTTGCTACAGGGAATTTATGGTGTGACTTAGCAACAGGGCCTTTAAGCTTTGTGTGTAGATGTGCACTTACTCAATTTGGAAAATAACCTAAGAACTGATAATGTTTGTTCGGTTTTTCTATTGGTGAGGTTCCTTTATGGATCATACATATGGTAACATTACTATGAATAGTTTCTACAGTTGGTCCTCAAATGATACAATTAAGTTGACTAAAATATTGCTTTATGTTGAGTAACCCTTATTCACAGTGGCTGTTGGTAAAGATTTTGATGTGTTCTTTGCTCTGGATCTTGGCAGACTGTTTCCCATAACAAAATGTGGAAGAAGAGAAGCAAATCAAATAAAGCAGCTTTTAGAGTTAGTAGCCATTCACCCCCGTTTTGTTTCATTGAATCTGTCTGAAAGTAGGTGTTTTAACATACAGCCATCTCTTGTTAACATGTGTGTTTATTTTAGCATGACAGTGTTGTGTTTTCATCTTCCCACGCTGACACAGCATGTTGTTGCATCTATATTTGCTTTGTTACTGTATGAGGCATTTAAAAATGGCTTAGTGAAGAGAAGGATTCTTGTCACAGATTCACTCTCCCACTTTGTGGAAACATGAATCATTTGAACAAGTCCTTTTGGTTGTTTAAAATTCTGTCTGTTGCTGTTTGAATAGAATAAGAGAGAGTGTGATCTAATGTCAAGAATTTCAAAGTGCACTACCGTACCTTTGTTGGTCTGTGCTAAGCATGTTTTAATTTGAACATTTTCTACACATGTGTATTTACAAATTGAATCATTGTTATGCTGCTTCTCTGTTTGCATGATATGATTTTATTTTATATTTTTTTCCACTCACCAGATGTTTCCAACATTTTGCTTCCCACCACTGTCATCCCCTCCCTTACCACTGCAACAGTCACAACCACTGTAGCCTTAACAAGCACAGTCCCATCGGCAACAGCCATCAACACACGAGGTACAGTATGCTTCTTTGTTTTGGCCTGCAAATCACAATATAAATAGGCAACCACAGGTATATGCGCACTAAGTATGATAAAGATGATAAAGGGAGATTGTGAATATTGCAAATTTATGTTCAGTTTAATATACATGGGGACATCCAGTTTAATTGTCAGCAATTAACATAGTTGTGAATGATTTAACAGCACATTGTGCATCTTTGTCTAATGATATTTATGAATGTTGATGGGTGTTTTAACTGCTGTTATAAGTAATTGCTTCATTTAAGATTATCATATTAAACTTTTGTTGAAAGGAAACATACTTAATTTTGAATTAACATTGTCTCTTAAAACAATAAGTTTGCTTTCTGTTGCTAATATGCTGTGAACGTGTAAGTGGTTTGGATTTAACCTTATATTTATTTAGAACTATTTCATTCATGTTTATAGTTTAATTTTGCAATAATTCTGTTCCCTTCTGTAGCTGTGTAAAAGGCCTTCCCAGACCATAGATTTCTTGCTCTAGAAATCTGTAGCTGTTCCTGCAATGGATAATCCAGATAACCTTTTGAAAGTAATGTTTCTTTTATTAGGAAATTACTGTTTCCTACTGCTGGTGGTGGTGTGAAATGGCAGTCACTTTCTCACACACTCAGCACATCCATTTCCATTGGAAGTGCAAAATGATATGGCTGATCTAGGGATGCCAGTGGAGATTAGTAACTCATCCACACAATAATCCCTTACCTTTTTGGCTGTGCGGATGTTGTACTTGACAAGGCTGCTGAATGGGAGTAAGCCTCCTTGAACTCAGTGGTCCTTACTTTTGAGCTGACCTTAAAGCATTACACAGTTAAACAAACAAGAAAAGTGGTTGACTTTAAATGCATAAACTTGAAGCAAGTTTCCCATTTGCATTTCATATTTCCTAAGTAATGGTACATACTGATGGGTCACTATAACCACTAATATACGTTAATTTGCAACTAAATTTTTGTTTTAACTATTTATTTGTGCTTTTACCTAATACCTTTATCTTGTGAACCACCCTGAGATCTTGTGATGAAGGTTGTTATATAAATATAATAAAAATATAAGCAACCAGGGAAAATTTACTTGCATAGGTAAGAATGGAACATATATTACAAACATACATACACTCACACATGTATAGGTGTGTGTATATTTATATTTTGTATTACTTATATTTATCTCCCATTCCTCTTCCAATGAACTCAAGGCAACATACATGCATACACTCCCCTGTCACTTTTTTCCTCACAGCCACATTGTCATTTGGCCTGTGAAACTCTGGCTGACCCCTAAGCTGTATGGCTGATGGCAGACTTGAATCTGGGTCTCTCCAGTCACAGTCTGATACTCTTGCCATTTCATAGAATCATACAACTAGAGAGCTGGAATAGACTGCGAGGGTCATCTGGTCCAAGCTTTCGCAATGCACGAATCTTTTGCCCATCGTGGGGCTCAATCCCACAACCTTGAGATTAAGAGACACATGCTCTACTGACTGAGCTATCTCAGCAGGATATGATAGTTTTATTTATTGAAAATGGTACACAGTACATAGATAATTGTTTATTGTATGTGTCAAGCTGCATTGAATTAGGAATATTAGCTGGAAATAAATCACAAACCTAGAATTTTTATTAAACAATAACCTTAAAGGTTATTTTATTAAACCAAGTATGCGCAATGGATAGATAAAAGAGATACTGACTATTCCAACACATTTTGGGCCTTTCCGGTCCTTCTTCAGGGAAATTCAGAGAAATAAATATTTAACACATAAGGGGCAATTTTATGACCAGATCTGCTGGGATTAGAAGTTTAGGATGCAGTGGATCTCTGTCTCAGCTGGCTGTTTTCTAGCTCAACCAGGCTCAGCTCTTGTTAAATCCCAGCCCTAGCTCAGCCAAAGATGCACCAGCATAACTTGCTTATCCCAGCTCAAGTAGCTGAGCAGAAACTGACTTAACTGAGGCTAGTATGCATCCTCAAAAATGTGTATTCCAGGGTGTGCTGGGGGCTTGACCATAGAGGCTGTGTCCCAAGCCTATTCAACTCAGCCACATGACCTAGCAGCCTGGCTCACTTTTTTAAAGGCTTGTTTTCCGTCTTCAAGGCTTAGGCAGAACAGCAGGCCTGCTGTTGAATGGAGGGCAACTTTACGCAGGCATAGGATTGTTTCCTACATGTGCTGCCTCTTCTTTTCTTAGTTTATCTATTCCTATGCTGAGACAAGTAAGTACCTAGAACTATAAAAGGAAAGACTATCAGTTACTAGGTGGAACAGTTTGTTTTCATCAGATGGATGGGAAAGTACCATCTTTGCTTCTAGCAAGTAGATATACTCATAATTTTAGCACTGAGCAGTTACTCGAAGTATTTGAGGAACATAAAAAATAGTATGCAAGATCACCCAGGGAGACCCAGTGGATAATTCTCCCACTTGTATACCAGATGGCTGAGCCAATCTGTGGAGACAAAATACAGTGTTTAACTAGTGTTGGATTAGACATTGTGCTGCTTTAATGCACAAACGTAAGCACACTGTTTTTATTTCAATATCTTTGGAAATCCTTTCTATATATTGTTACAAAAGTTGGGTGCCACCCTCACTCACTGTCGAGCAATTGCAAGATCCCAGGGGGGTTCCAGGCCGTCACTCAGAGTCTGTGTTCCTTTGGAGAATTGAGACACCGTGGTAACTGTAATAACTTTAAGAAATATGGTACCTATTTACACCTTCTGACTGCATGGAGGGAAGCCAGAACTTACAGCATGGTCATTTCAAAAGGGGCTTATCCCCCACAGCAATGCAGCCATGGAGTTCAAAGCATCTCTTCCTGCCAGCCTTCAGCCATGCTTCCCAAGATGTATCCTAGTCTTTTTCTCTTCCTTCTTCCCAGAACACTCTCTTTTCCTGTCACCTCACACCCAGTTACCATGGCAAGCTTCCAAACCCATCTCTCTTCACACCTCAGGGCAAGGGGGGAGGACAGTTCTCTTGCATTGCCAATGGCTCTCAATGGCCCTGTATTGTTTCTTAATAGCCCTAGCTTGGCCAGGCCATTTTGCATAGACTAGCTCAGGAATTCCTCTGCAGCTTGTATTTCTTCCTTCACGCCCCAAATAATCAAAATCCTACCATTTGTTAATTTCTAGGGTTTAACCTCCGCCCCCTATCTATAACGATATTTTTGTAGTTCCTTTAGTTCCCGGGTTTCTTCTGTCTTTCCTAAGACAATCTAATACAGTGCTTACACCCTAAACAACCCGGACATGAAATTCCTGAAAAACTGCCTTCTTCCCTACAGACTATCTTGGATGGGGCCCCTTTGTACAGCCCTCAGTGGCTGCACACTCACTGTGGCAGCTTCTGAGCTGTGGAATTTCCCCTCCTCTCAGTGGTGCATCTAATTACCTTCATTATATAGTTTTCATTGTATGCTGAGGACAAACCACCATGCACGCCCACCCCTTCTTTTGAAAGTATTTTGAAAATTACTCTGGAATTCCATATGGCTCAGATCAGCATGCCCTGTCTCACCTATCAGCTGCTGTAGCTTTTAATACAGAGTTGGTTGCAAAACATGCACAAGCCAACCATCATTTATTTTCCCTGTCCCCTCATTCAGGAAAATATATTTCCTTAATATTTGTTATATTATAAATATAGGTACCTATTAAAACATTTATTATAGAAAAGGACTCCTGCTGTGTTCAGCATTCCTTGCTTGTGTGTGTGCTCTTTCTCTACCAGTGCTGCAAAACAAGTACTGCAAAGTAGAAATCACTCTTTGCTGCTTCTCCTGGTAAGGTGTGGCCTTCCAGGAAACAGCTCTAAGCATCCTGAGATCACATATCCTGAGGCAGACCTGCTAATGTCATACAAGGACTATCTGTGTGCTGTAGCTGTATGTTAGCTCCTGTGTCCTGCTCTCGTGACAACAGGGTGGGTGGGAAACTGCTTGTGCAAACGCAAATAAAATGCTTTTTTAATAATAATAAAAATTGGAACTTCTAACTGGAGACAGTTGGGATGGACAAGAATTTGATTGGACTTGGCTGAGCAATGATGATGATGTAAAATGGAAGGCTAATGAGTATATGAGACTGGAAGGATTGTGACTTTCTGGTTTTTGTGAACATCTACATTTTTTTCTTGTCATTCCCCTTGGCAGGGCAATATTGTGGCTTGTACTATGTACCTTCCAGCCACCATTGCCTATGAGATTCATCTGAAGTAAGCCTATCAGCTTAAGGTTTGTTGACTTTTATTAGAAGAAATCCTATATAAAGACCAGTGGATGCAATTGATTTTAGTTCGGGCGAATGATTGTTTCTTACTTGACAACATTGACATTATATCTATGGCCAATTTTCCATATGCATTCCTTACCATCTGGTGGTGATCGTGCTACTGTAAGAAATAACAATTCCCAAAGAAAATGAAAGGAAGTTAATTCAGCTGTCTCAACAGACTGCATGCAATGCCTTTTTGTGTGTGAAACTCATTATTAAAACATGTTCCAAACATTAGTTAAAACAGTTGGGTTGCAATCTGTACCTAATCATCAATTTATGGCTTATCACACCTCATGCAACTAAAGGAAGTATCACAGTACAGGGTTGCATAATTTCAAATCTGATTGCTTGGAATGATAAATATGGCCAGTATGTGATATATTATGCCTACATTTCCTGGGACTTTATGGTTATACTACCGTTTTTACTCTTTATGCTTATGATCCAATATGGTATCTACACACGGAGCTGTTTCTCCCCCCCCCCCTTTGAAACATAGCATTTTCTACTATAATTTTTATTTCCAGTTTGGCTTCTTTCCCAAAAAAAATATTAAAGAATGTCACAGTGTAGAACTAATAGCACTGAATAGCACTGTTGGAAATACATCATCTAACTCTCCTCACCCCAAAAGCTGTGTAAGATGTGTGACCACTTCTAGCAAGATACAAATTCATGAATTCTTTTCATTTTCATATAAGGTCTCTAAATTTGCATTAAGTCATAATTTATCATTAATCACAATCCCTGTATTTCAAGAGCCATGAAATTTGTCTTTCTAGAATTCCATATGTAGTCACAAAAGGTACTATTTCAATATGAATATTTTGCACAATAGACAGCTACTGTGCTTTAGAGCTCCCATTTTAACTATTAACTCATTTCACACTGAAGTGGTTCCTTACAGCCCATGCTATATTCCACAGGAAAGTAAAATTTACAGCTGACTCTAAAGATTTGCAATCCAGGCATGCTTTCATTTGCATAACGATCAGAAAGCAACCTTGAAAAGTTACTAAATCTACTTGGGTCATTAACAATGGTATTTCATGAAATACTTCCTTAGACTAGCTTTTTACTCACTTGGTCAGATGTGCATTTGCTCTTATGTTCAGTCCTTGTAAGTGATATCCTTTTTGTGCTTCTATATTACCCATTAACTTCAAATAGACTTTTAAAATACTTTGTCTTCTATGCCTGGGGTGGGGGTAGGGATCAACAAACATATCAGCAAAAGTATTTTGGGGACCAAAATGCGTAGACAGAAGAAAACTGAAGAACCAAAAGACAGGGAAACATGAGTGCCTCCAGAGGCTTTTGCTGTGGATTTCCTTTCTAGTTTTCATATGGGAGTTGATAATGGCTCGCAGTAATGGACCTTTATTGTAATGGAATGCTACAGAGGCACTTTTTCAAATTTCCAGTGCCTTCAACTATGAGCCTTAAACATATACCAGTTCTTTAAATTACATACATCTGACATAACAAGTGGCAGGCTACAATGGGCTGTTCGTACAGCCTCCTTCCATTTTTAGTGTAGACAACCAAACCCTGGGAAACTACAGGGAGCGGGTGGCACTGTGGTCTAAACCACTGAGCCTCTTGGGCTTGCTGATCGGAAGGTTGGTAGTTTGAATCCGCATGATGGGGTGAGCTCCCGTTGCTCAGTCCCAGCTCCTGCCAACCTAGCAGTTCGAAAGCATACCAGTGCAAGTAGATAAATAGGTACCGCTATGGCGGGAAGGTAAATGGCGTTTCTGTGTGCTCTGGTTTCTGTCACAGTGTTCCGTTGCACCAGAAGTGGTTTAGTCATGCTGGCCACATGACCCGGAAAGCTGTCTGTGGACAAACGCCAGCTCCCTTGGCCTGAAAAGTGAGATGAGTGCCGCACCCATAGTCACCTTTGACTGGACTTAACCATCCAGGGTCCTTTGCCTTTTCTTACCTTTTCCTGGGAAACCCCTAACAAACCTGGATACTGCGGGATATAATGGATATAATGGACTTAAGTTACAGGAGAGTTGATTTTGTTTGATCATTAGTAGAAGCTTCTTGACAGTTAAGAACACTTTGACAACAGAACCAGTTACCTAGAGGGGTAATCGAGGCCTTCAGGCAGAGGCTAGATACCCATTTATAGGAAATGCTTTAGTTCTGGATTTCCCTCATTTAGGATGGGATTTAACTACATGGCCTACAAAGTCCCCTTCAACT